ATGGAGGTGCCGGCCAGATCCCAGGCTGGCTTGCTGCCTCCCCGTCCCTGAGGTTCTTGCCTGGGCTCCTTCCTAGCTTGTGATGGGTTCCCCTGCCCCTCCCTGCCCGGTGGAGCTGGGGGTACCCTACGGAGAATCAGGCCAGGGCGGGACCCCCAGGCTGAGGGAGTGAGCAGCAGTCAGGGGCCGTGCCGAGGTCATGGGGGAACAAAACCTTGAGTCTTGGGCAGGGAAAAGTGTCTAGAAAACAGCAGTGGGGTGGAGAAAGGGATCGTGGGTTTTGGGAGCCAGAGCCGTGGGGCGGGGCAGCTGCCAGGCCGGGCCGTCGTGGAGTCCGATCCAGACACGAGCATTGGAGCCCGACATGGTGATGTAGTGAACCACTACGTCCCTTTCTGCCTCATTGACGATGGAGGCCAGATGGGCCCCCGGCTGGTGATGCTGACACTGCACCTGCAGCAGGGACATGGGCCAGGCCTGTCACCCTGGGGGAGGATGCCGATTGCCCTGCTGTGGGGTCCTGCCCCACCCGGCTGCAGCAGGGCAGGGGTGGCTGAGAGGAGAGAGAGCCCCTCTTGGAGCCTGTTCCTGAGCCACAGGGCTGGGCCCCAGCTGATTCACCTCGCCCGCCCCCTACCCACCTCTTCAACCCCAGCCCCCGGGGCCAGTCACCAAACCGCTTCAGCCCCTAACCGCTAACTTGCTCATCCCTGGAGAGGAGCCTCCTACCTCAGCCGCTGACCAGGTCACCAGCTTAGGGAAGAATTTAAAGCAGTGGTCTCTGTAGCGGAGCCAGCCATTGAGACAGCCTGTGGCCTTTACCCCCGATCCAGGCCGGAGAGAGCGCTCACGTCGGGGCGAGGCTGTTGTGGAGGGGGGAGAGGGAGCGGAGCTGTCATTAGCCGCCCGTCCAGCTTCTCCAGACTTCCACAAACACTGTGAAATTTCGTCCTCTCCCAAAATGGCCCCTCTCTCCTGTTGCTTTCAGTGGGGCTGAAGCCCCTCAGCTAAAAGAGCTGCCACCCCCTCGCCCCCTTTCCCTGTGGCAGTGAGGCTGTGCTACCGACAATGACCGGTGTCCCTGCTGTCTCCTGTGCCATGGCACTGGGGAAACTGACACAAAGGGGCAGCAAGGTGGTGGAGTCATAGTGGACAGGGGACTGTGGGGTGAGGATGGGGAGCCCTGGGTGTCAGGGCAACAGTGGTGGGGCAGGGAGCATAAGGGAAGTTGGGGCACAGGGGTACAGCACAGGCTGAAGTGACCCCATGGCTTGTTTGCCAACCCAGAGACGAGGCTTTAAACTAGGTTTAAAATCCCAGAGGTGACCCTAACAGAGGCTGTGTGGTGGGCTGGAAACAGAAAACGGCAAAAGCGTCGGGAGGTCATAAGAGCAACAAGAGGGAGATCCATGCGGGAACGTGCTCGGCCTCTCAGATGCCTATACACCGATGCAAGGAGTAGCTCTCTACGGATTTTAGAAGTTTCTTGTCTTTCTGTTTGTTCAAGAACTCCAGCTAAATGGTAGGATGAGAACCACCGAATCCGGTAGGCAGCTTCCTCTCCTCTAACTTGAAGCAACGTCGGGGTATGGTGGTGCCAGGCCAATGGGATATGTGTGGAATTGGATTGTTTCTCATAAAATGGAAAGGGAGGGGGCTGGTAGAAGGGAGTTATGCTGCAGAATGCCCACAGGGGGCAGCAAGGGGCAGAGATGGGACCAGGACAGCAGTAACCGCACTGGGCCAGCAGGGGGCAGGGGCGGAGAAAGGGACAGCTCTCTGCTATAGATTTCTGAGAGTCTGTCTGGGAATCTGGGGCCATGCACTTCTCCCCCGACTGGGCCCACTGGGGCTACAGCATCCAGGGAGAGGCGCGTCTCACCTGGCCCCAAGCTGCTGGGGTGAGAGAGGGCTGGGGTTGTCCTCTCTCCCCAGAGCAGCCTGCACCCTGCACCCCTCCTCCCCAGCCCCACCCCAGAGCAACGATTCAAATGAAGAAACAAGAACTTATTTAAGTATCCGGGCAAGGCCGGGTAAATCTTCTAGTGGGGAATAAATGGAAGCACTGGAAGTATTGGTGTAGAAACTACATGATGAGCTCTGGCCGTGGTCTGGATCGATGGGCTTGGTGGGGCAGGGGCTATGGGGACCCAGCTCTGATGGCTGCTCCCCCACGGTGGAATGAAATGTCTGGGAGAAATGACTTCACGTCCCATCGGGGCAAACAGAGCCTGGGGTGTCCAGGCCGAGGGGCCAGGCAGGGACTCACCTTCCAGCGAGGGGTTAAAGATCAGGCAGCCGAGGAGGCAGAGGCTGAAGAAGGCGACTGGGCCCATCGTCTCGCTTCCCTGGGGAGAAAACACACAAGGGGGATGGGCGGGGGAGCCTGACACCCCCCTGGAAAAACTCCCCCCCCCCATGGGGCATTTCCCGGGAAGGGGGTTCTGGGGGGGGCTGTGCGCTAAGGAGCCTGGCCCGGCTGCAGGGCCCCA